GCTATTGATGACCCCTGCTGGGACTAGGAAATATGGAGGAGGTAGCCGCTTGATTTGAATGGGGATCAGAAAAGAGAGAAAATGGACAAGAAACTGGGAGGAGGGGAACTGAAGTGGTTGAGAAAGAAGACTGGGAATGTCATGGGGACTATGGAGGGGCAAAAGGACTGGGGCAGGGATGAAAACCCTGAAGAATGGAAGACTAGGATGAAGAGCCCAGGGTGGGGAAGAGAGGACAGACAGGGGTCAAGTTTGCAAGCAATGGGGGAAAGTATCTGCTCACCAGACCATGTAATGCTATCCAGGATTCCAAGTCTCACCATTCTGCTGCTGTCAGCAAATGCGTGACACCCATTGGCAAAGTGTCCTATCCCTGCCTAGTACTGGTCCACATAGAGGATGACAACCCACTATTGTTATCAGTTACTCCATTAGCTTAAGTGGAAGAGGTGAATCTGAAGGTTCCAACCCTGATGATCACCCATCTGGGTGTCTATGATATTCCATAATGGATTTTTTGGGGTGGAGAGTTGTATTTTTCCTCTTTCTCTCTCTCTCTCCTTTACAGAAGAACACCAGTGCTTAGCTTTGCACCTTAATAAAAAGTTAGGAAGTTTCAGGAATAAAGTTGCCTTAAGGATGATCTGATGGTTAAAGCAGATGAATAGGGGCGGCCTGTCCATATAGGCGAACTGGGCGGTCGCCTAGGGCGCCAAGTTAAATGGAGCACCAAATGGTGGCACAATATCATTGAGGGGTTTGGAGGTAGGGGTGCCGATTGCATGGTTCTCCTAGGGCTCCAGATGCTGGCAGCTAGCCTAGGGCCACCCCTGCGATGAATCCTGCCCTGGAGAACTGGCTTCTACCCTGTCTCTGCCAGAGAGTTTCTATGATGCTAGGTGTCACTAAAACCAAAATGTTCATGCGTTGTCACTAATTGTATGTTCCCTGTTTCCTAGGTACTTAAGTAGAGACACCTAGATTCTGATTTGCAGGAGTGGTGAGTAGTCATAGCTGGCAAACACCATTTCCCCCAACATCATTCTGTAAACAGCTTAGCAACCTTTGCTGACACTTTTCATAACACTTAAATCTGAGGTAAAAAAACACCACAGAAAATTCCAGCCCAAATAATTAGTCTGGCAAAGTTAGAAGCAAGTGATAATAGGGTCTTCTAATGGAAAATATGAGACAATGTTAATGATAGGTGTCACTATGATACATTCAAATAGTGGGTTCAGACTCATTAAGGTTAAGAAATATTAAACTAAGGCTAATGTTCTGTTCTTGGCTCATGTTGGGATGGGAAAATACCTCTTAGCTACATTCAACTTGGGGCAAAATTTTATGGCGGAGTTATAAAAAGTTGAGGGTAGGTATTTTTAATGAGTCACTGTAAAGCCTTAATGGTATCAGTACAAGTAGATTTTATAAACAGTATTTAAGATGTGAACACATGGAGTTGGGGCCCAAGACATGAGTGGTAGCTGTGATAGTATTAACTTTAGCCAGATAACAGTGAGCATTGTAGGGAGGGTGCATTACATAAGCGAAATAATAAATTTGATTTGTTTTTTTGAAATGCTGACACACAAAACTGAATTAATCTCATGGTTTTCCCTGTAGTCCACCTAACTCTGGCTGCAGGCAGATGCTTACTGCTGAATAAGACAAAAATATCTCAGCACTCTAACACTGAAGTGAAGTGCAGATTGTTTTTATTTCATAGGGACAGAGATAGTAGAGTCTCGATAAACATCCATTAATAAAGCTTTTTAAATTGTGATGGCCACGGTATAGGTGTGGGTAAAGAAGGTTGTCTAATTGCAAATTTGTAATGGGTTGGGGAAGTAAGAGGATTACAAGGATGAGTGGAAATAGGTATCCCTGTGATCAGGTGCAAGCCTGGGAAAATTAGAACTCAATGAGAATGTGGGAGTGGGAAGAGAAGAAAGTAAAAGAAAATCAAGGACACAACACAATTCATTGGAGTTGAAAAATCTTAAATCTCAAAACTAAGAACACTTAGTGAAGGAAAAGTGATGCATGCTAGGAAAATGACTAGCCTTAATTCTCCAAGCATCATGTCTGCTATGGGTGGGTATTTCTATGTAACATCTGAGGTGCTGCTGCTGGATGTACCACTTTAGTTGCAGCTGAGGGCAGGTAGAATTAACATTTGCTGCTTTGCTCTGGTGTTGCAAGAAAAAAGTAGGAAGAGGTTGCAGGCAGGTGGTATTTTAGTTTCTGCTCAAATGTGAATGTTCACTACATCAATGTCTACAACCACTTTAAAGAGTGATTAACTGGCACTGTGGCTTATTATAGTGGTTTGGTCAAGGTGGACCAGATGTTCCACTGCTCAGGAAAATGTGGTAGGTTAGATTCTGCCCTGAATATTTGCTCATAACTCACATTGGTATCAATAGGAGTTGAACAGGCCAATTGGTGAGTCACAGTTGAAAGAATGAGACAGTCTTTTAGGGAAAGGAGCAACTGAACAAACTCCTCTGCACCCTCAAACTCGGTTCTGCTCCCATTTCACAAGTAACCCCATTGAAGATTATCTGTACCAGGAAAATGAGCAAGATTTGGCACATGGTGGCCTTCACAGAGTTTGGTGTACAAGAGGATTTATATAACTACAAGCAAGAAAGGGACCAGGGAGACTCACAGCATCCAGTTTCTTCTACTTTGGCAGGGAAGATGAGCGCCTTCACAAAAATAAATGATGCAGACCTGCACCTGCAACCTTTAATGGTTTCATACACACAGATGCTTGGAGCTGGAGGTAGACATGGGAGATGTGGCATTTTGATTTGAGATTTTTGTACAACTCTGCTATATTTCTATCTTTCTATCAGTCATATATATTTGTATATGGCGGAAGTTCTGGCCAATAAGATACCTTTCACCACACGGTTGGTGTTGAGTTAATCCAAAGCAAAGGTCAGATGAGGTACTAGGGAAAACTGAATATGTCAGTAAAATGACCCCTTTAATTTGGGTTGTCAAATCAAAATAAATACCAATTGGAATTGTCATATATTCCCCAATAACAATATAAAGCATTAATTTGCTTTGGTCTGGTTCCTGTAACAAGTACTATCTTCCAGAAGGACATACACATACTTTTGGTGGGAGAGCTTCTGGTCCTTTTCCTCTGTATTCCTTTTCTTCCCTGTAATAGCATCTTACCATACAATGTTTTCCTTCCTGCTTCCTGTAGGGGATAGTAAATTGAGCTTGTGTCTTTTTTTTTATTTATAAAGGAAGTTTGAACAGGTTGTATTTGTAAAAAAAGAATTGTTTGTGTAAGTCCTATTGAGGCCAGAGTCCTCTGAATCTTGGGGAAACAGTAGTGAAATGGAGAAGCAAGAAAGTAAAAGTAGAGGTATTAAAAGAGGAAGGCATTTGAGGCAAACAGCCTAATTTTTTATACACTTATTTATAGTTATGCCTATTTAACTTTAAAAACTGATTTTAACATTTTATTAAATATTTGAAATCCTTGCTCCTTTAATCCAGGTGTTAAGAACACACAGAGGAAAAAAGTAAAATTCTTGATCTTCCAGAGGTTCTCCAATAAAATCAGGAAATATCAAACTTTACCTTCTTGATTTTTTTTCCTCTAAAACTTTTTTAAAAACCTCAAACATCCCCATTCCCTGGGCCTTTTATTGTTTCATAAGCCAAAAAAGTCCATTTAAAAAATCAAGTTTGCCTTTAGAAAAGGCTTCGTTTCTGGCAGCAGTATTCCTCCATATTTAGGGCTGTACTCTGCTTCCACTAAATTTGGTAGGAAAACTTCCACTGAATGAAATGGAAGCAGGATGGGATGCCCATAGATATTTTCAGTTGGTGTAGTACCACTATATGGATTCCATTAATATCAGAGAAAGCCATGTGCACACTCAGAAAAGAAAAGATTCCTTTGCCTCTGTTATATTTCTATCTTTTCTATCAATCATATATATTTGTAGGCATAGAATTCTGATCCTTTTGAAACAGCTGTTTCAGGCCTGGAATTCAGGGGGTTAAACATTTTCCATGGGTTTAAACATGGAGCAATAAAAAAACAGCCAAAAGAGAAACTCACACCAAAAACATTATTATTAATAATAATAAAAAGACATTTTGGCCATTTGGTCATAAATAGTACTATTCAATAGCACAAGAAATCATGCAGACTGTGCAGGGAGACATAAAACTACTGAATTATGTATTAATGTGTCATATATAAAAGGGGAAAAGCACTAAAGAAAGATTGTAGAAAAAAAACCCCTGCCATTAAAAAGTGAATGCATACCATTTGATCAATTATGTTAAACATAAAACAAGAAAAAGCGCCATTTGGAAGTTAACAAGTTAAATGCTCTTACTTCTGATACTGGATTTTCCCTTATAAGCTATAGAAAGGTGTGGCTAGATCAGAGGTTCAAGAACTGATTTTATGTCTGCCCTCATCTAAATCAGATTTTTGTTTTGTTTTGCTTTGTTTTCTTACGAACTTGGAAACCTGGAGATGTATGAGCTGGCTGATATTAAACAGGCGCTGACACCAGCCCAAAGAGGGTATTTTGGATGAAAAAAGCCTGAGCTGAAATCTCCTCGCAATAGCAGTAAGAATGGCGCTTTTCTGCCATAAGGTTTGTGGTGGTGTTGTGTATGCACATGTGAAAGAATCACATCTTGCATATAGAAGCACAGGCTGTTCTGAACAGAGGAGAAAATGTGAAGCAGTACAGGAAGAGGTGGCCAAGCCCACCTCAGAGCGCATGTTTGATTTCACTTGCTTCCCCACAGGCTCTTTACCGACAATATCAGTTGTTGATAGACCTAGTGGAGTTTGCTGCTCTCTGGAACACGGGATGTAGAGAAAGGTCGCCAAGCTTTTCCTCAAATCGGTCTACTGTCAAGACCCCTCTTTTGCCATGCTCATCTAATTGACAGAATACTGAAGAGACTGCAGCTACCCTCCTCTTTGATATGGAAGTGCTTATGCTATGGTGGAGACTGCAGGATCAATCTCAGTCTTAGCTAGTCAAATCAAGGCTGTGCATTCGGGCCTGTAACCATTGTGGGACAAAGCTCCTTTTTTCAGGGCTGTGGTAGTCAAATGCAGCGTAGAATGTTGTGGTTCTATTTAGCCCACAAGGCCTCACTTCAGTCTCCCCTCCCCCTTCCTTAGAAACTCTGAATTTCTGTGTCAACCACAAACCTCTGCAAAGTTTCTAAATAATTTTGATAGGCCTGGCAGGAAGCACAAATGACAATGAAAAGCACTGTGTGGCTGCTTTATTCTAAACTGCTACAATCCATTCTACACTGCAGAGCTGTACTTCAGATCTAATTCCAGCATGTTTTGGAAAAGCAGAATTCCCTTTGGTCATCTGTAGCATGGTTTGTCTTCATCTTTGTCCAGCCTCAGTGGTGCCAGTAACATCTTCATTGCAAGGTGAAAAGCATTCAGCTGTTGCAGTGACAGCTGTGGCTAATTCAGGTGCTAAGACTCCTGTACTTGTGTTGCTCCCATCTGCTCTTGCTTGTTCTTATTCCCTAGCTATGGCGTAGAGACTCTAAACCATTTCCACTTGGAAAGTTCATAGATCAACACCAGATGAAGACAATGAGGCCTTCCAGAGCTTATCTCTCCTAAGGTAAATGGAGATGGTTAAAATACATGTAAAATAAATTGTAGTCCAATTCTATTCCACTGTAGAAAAGAAGAGACTGCAAATTTACCTTGGTTTTGGTATCAGCATGTGGATTAGGAGGTACCTGAACTAAATGTTTTTTCTTTTCAACAGAAGCTGATCTCTGGAAATAAATAGATGCTGGTTAAATTTGAACAAAACTAAACAAAAAAAAAAAAGGTGAAACAAAGTTAAAGGGAATGAAAAATCAAACGAATGACTACATACATACCTTCTATTTTCACTTAGACGGCATGTCTATGTTGCCATAAAAAAACCTAATGGTGCTAAATCTCAAAGCCTGGGTAAATTGGCTCAGGATACTTGGCTAAAAACTGCAGTGTAGCTGTGTGGGCTTCAGAATAGCAGGTGCGCAGGCTCCCCTGAGAGCACATGCCAGCTGACCTAGGCCAGCCACGGGAATTTTATTACAATGTAGATGAAACCCTAGGCTATGTCTATACTGGCGGGTTCTTGCGCAAGAACAACTGTTCTTGCGCAAGAACCCGCAGAGCGTCCACACTGCCCGTTCGCTCTTGCGCAAGAAGATTTACAGTATGGTGTTGCGTAAGAGGGCAGTGTACACGTGCGGCAGGGGCTTCTTGCGTAAGAAAGCTCTATGGCTAAAATGGCCATCAGAGCTTTCTTGCGCAAGAGAGCATCCACACTGCCATGGATGTTCTTGTGCAAAAGCATATGGCAGTATGGATGTGTTCTTGCGCAAGAGTTCTTGCACAAGAACCCTTGTGCAAGATGTTCTTGTGCAAGAACCCTCCAGTGTAGACCAGGTGATCTGTATTGCTTACTACTATTTACCATAGGCTCCAGCTCTTGTATGGTACTTCCCTGCTCACATGTTGTAGGGTTATGTAGCTGTGTGCAAATCTTGGCATATCTGTATTTTTGGTTATATTAACTTTATCATGTAGAAGTTAACATTTAGCTTTCTTGTAGTGAGTAATGTTGTAACATATGTTAATGTTTATGCTGCATTGGAAATTGATCTCTTGACTACAAAAGGAATTTTATAATCCGATAAGTGTGCTATTTTGCAAAGTTCATTGGCACCGGTTAAATGAAACAAGTTACTTGTTAGAAGAAAAGCTATACCATGAGTCTCTGTGTCTGTGATTGGATGAGTGACCAAGGGGATCAGACCAAAGCAGAAGTGGCTCACTTCTGAGAGAGTGGAAATGTTGATGAGGTGGGGCTGCTTTGCATATTTTTTCTGATGCAGCTGGGAAAATGTGTGTGTTTTGGCAGGGATGGTCTTGGTTATTACTCTCTGCAATTCCTTTCGGAACTATCATTTAAAAAATCATTTGGACATAACTGAAGTGTTTCTATCTTGTTTCTAACTTGTTCCAGTTGTAAGTATATTTTTTTCACTGAGTTCTAGTGCCCTCAGATGTGAATTATTGTTAACCTGAGGTCTGGAGAGTGCTGTAATTTTCCACAGTTAATGGGAAGTGTTTTTATTACTCTCTGCAATTCCTTTCGGAACTATCATTTAAAAAATCATTTGGACATAACTGAAGTGTTTCTATCTTGTTTCTAACTTGTTCCAGTTGTAAGTATATTTTTTTCACTGAGTTCTAGTGCCCTCAGATGTGAATTATTGTTAACCTGAGGTCTGGAGAGTGCTGTAATTTTCCACAGTTAATGGGAAGTGTTTTAATAATAATACTATTAAAAAGAATCCCTGTGTTCTAAATTTTGGATCTGATTTTGAATCCCTTGGCACTGCAAATATTTGGCGTTCATGAATCAGTTTCAGCATGTTCCAGATGCCTAGTTGTAACACTGAGATCTCAGCAAATCTTCCCTAAATTCTGGAGTGTTGGGATTTGAGGCTGAAGTCTGGACCTATGTTTAATTGTTTATGTTCTGGTCAAACTAGCAGATAACTTCTTTGTTTCCCTGATTGCAGAGTTACCTTGTATCATGAAGCCAAGGTCCACACTGAAGAGCTGTCTGAGTGGTGGCCAGCCACCAGTGTAACTTCCCCATTACCAGCCCCTATTTAGTGTAGAGAAAGTAAATTGCTGTAGGGTGCAATTTTGCACCGATGCAGGTTGCCCCAGTTTCAAGCAAGGGATAAGCTCAGGAAATGCAAGCAATGGCTGTGTTCATGTACATGAAGGGTTTTCAATGGTGGCTGGCCACCAAAAGCTCTAGTTGGGGCAAAACCCCAGTACAGATATGATCTCAGAGTTTAAGTACATAGCACATTCCCTGATTAGCTCAGATATGCCCTCATTTTTCCTCCCCACCCCCAATTTTTGTCTGGTGAAATTAGACATGGGTCTTCCTGGATGTGTAAAAGCCATTGGGAGAGAGTGTCATTTTTTTTCAATTCAGTTTCCTTACATTTTATATCACACATGTATGTTCTGTTTCCGAAGTTCACTCTGTTCTCTGAAATATCGGTTTTCTTTGTTTGCTGAAAGCTTTAAATGATTCCTGTGTTCAGTGCAAAGGTCATTCAGTAATAGCGTTGGCTACAAGTTAATAGCGATGGGTTCCTATGATCTTGTGTGGTGTCTCAGGCAATATGTATGACTTCACAGTGAACAAAGAGAGAGGGTGTTGTGTGAATATGGGATGTTTCATTCGCACAAAGAGTGAACATTCTGGCTTGTGATTGTCATAAGAACATAGGAAAGACAAGTGGCCAATACCCATGCAAACCCAGCTTGGACATTTATGGAATTACTTTCAAATGAGAAATAGGCTCAAAGAGCTCTGCATGGCAAGTGCTGTAGAAGATTTTATTTGTATTTTGTCCAGTGTTGTTTTGGGTACAATATAAATATATTTAAACTGTGCTTTCCAGGCTGAAAATATAGGAAGCTATTGTGAAGAGAATCCTGAAATTAAAGCTTTCAGGAATAAAGAAAATCAGGGCTGAAATATGCTTTTAATATGCTTAAAGATATTTTCAAAATTGATGCTACCTGAATTTCTGGTAGCAACATGTTCAGGAGTTGAGGGATACCTCAGGAAAAGGCTCTGACACCTAATGATTTACAGGCAGTCCCCGGGTTACGTACAAGGTAGGGACTGTAGGTTTGTTCTTAAGTTGAATCTGTATGTAAGTCGGAACTGGCGTCCAGATTCAGCCGCTGCTGAAACTGACCAGCAGCGGCTGAATCAGGACCAGAGCAGCTGGGGTGCTGCTGGGTTGGACCAGTAGCGCCCAGAGTGGCGCTGCAGGACCAACTGGCAGCCCCCCAGCTGCTCTGCCCCAGGCGTCCTGATTCAGCCGCTGCTGAAACTGACCAGCAGCGGCTGAATCAGGACCAGAGCAGCTGGGGTGCTGCTGGGTTGGACCAGTAGCGCCCAGAGTGGCGCTGCAGGACCAACTGGCAGCCCCCCAGCTGCTCTGCCCCAGGCGTCCTGATTCAGCCGCTGCTGAAACTGACCAGCAGCGGCTGAATCAGGACCAGAGCAGCTGGGGTGCTGCTGGGTTGGACCAGTAGCGCCCAGAGTGGCGCTGCAGGACCAACTGGCAGCCCCCCAGCTGCTCTGCCCCAGGCGTCCTGATTCAGCCGCTGCTGAAACTGACCAGCAGCGGCTGAATCAGGACCAGAGCAGCTGGGGTGCTGCTGGGTTGGACCAGTAGCGCCCAGAGTGGCGCTGCAGGACCAACTGGCAGCCCCCCAGCTGCTCTGCCCCAGGCGTCCTGATTCAGCCGCTGCTGAAACTGACCAGCAGCGGCTGAATCTGGACGCCAGTTCCGACTTACATACAGATTCAACTTAAGAACAAACCTACAGTCCCTACCTTGTACGTAACCCGGGGACTGCCTGTATAGCACAGTGGTAATTCTGAACAAGCCAGAGCCCAATGTCTGCTGAGCACAGAACATGACCTGGGTGAAAGGGAACCAAAACCTCATTTAGTTACAGGAAAGTCTAAACTGAGCAGTGCTTTAAAGATCAACAGAATCTTAACATGAATCTCCTATCCTGCTTAGTAGCAAGTGAAAACACACTGGGGAATTCTCTTTGACTGGCTTTGGATTGCATTGAAGCAGGGACAGCTGGGCTCTATACATCTCCTAGTCTTCTGAAGGTGCAAAAAAAAAGACATTTTAGTAATCTGGAAGATGATCTTGCTTCCATTTTTAAACCGTTTTGTCTTCATGAATATTTACTCAAGCATTGTTCCCTTGGTTTTCTGGACATTCCTACTCTAGCCCCATCCCCCTCTTTTCCTGCCCTTTATCAAATCTACAGCTTCAGAAATCTAGCTTCCAAGGTGTTTGCAAAAAAAGATGATTTTTAAAACTAGAAAATGCTGATTGAGGCTATATAAAATCAACTCATTTAGGAGCTGCGACACTTGACATAATTTCCTACTTCTTAATTAAAAAAAATTAAAGTTTGAGAATGATGAGGACATAACTTTTCCATTAGGTCAGTCCGTTGGAAAGTTAACATGAAATATAAGTATCTAGATATATGCAGTATGTGTGGCAAGGAAAGGTTCAGCTGTAATGGTAGTTCTGAGCACACTGATATTTAGAATTGTGAAGGTGTGTTGATGGGCGGGAGGGTGTTAAACATGTTTTCTGATACACACTGCAAAGCTCAGTAGTGAATGAGTGGGTGCGCATGCTTGAAAGAGAGCAAATTATCCACAATTAGTATTTGTTGAGTGCTGAGTAAAAGGACCCGAGGTCCACTGCTGCAATCCTCCACAGGGTTCAATTGCACTACCGACTATACTTCATCTAGTACCTGATGCTCTGAGGCAGTAGCAATTGATGACATTACTCCCTAGCTGTACCAAAGTAACTCGGAGACCTCTGTATTTAGTAAGTCATATTAGGAAATGAACTTGGAGGATATAAGATCTAACAATTGGCTTCAATGTTATTTTTAAACCATTTTAAAATAGACTTTACTTCATTTGATATAACTGAGTGCTTAAAAAGATGCCAACTGCTCCACATGCATGGAAACAAAATGTGGGCAAGTCTAGCTTATGGACTATTATTTCATGCTGGAAATCTCTTCCATTGAGGATTCTCCCCCTCTCCTAATCCAGCTTTCTATGAAACAAAATAAATTTGAATTTGAATACTGGAACAATCCATAAAATCATCACACTGGATTG